AATCATTTGTAAATTATTATTAGTTTTACTTCATAAAGTGAAAGTGACATCATCTTTAGTTGTTCAAAGAGCTCAACATGTCTCAAATCTGCAACAAACCTGTAATCTCTACTCACTCACTCAAGAACCAGACAACACTACTAAAACAATGAATCAAACATTTTCTTCATTTTTTAAGCTTGTCTATTTCAGGTTCACTGGTTTTTTCTTCTTACTGCAACTTCTTATGGGTCTCGGAAGACTTGATGATTCTTTCTTAGCGTTTGCTTTGGTACTGGAAGCCTTATCAACTTGAGCCTGTGGAATATTATTTCCAGAAGCCGTTGTCTTCCCTAGCTTGCGGATAGAGGTTGAGCAGCCATAAGAACCTCATGCTCTTGTCTGCAAACACTGCTACCCTCCGAGCTCTGTATTGTAGTTACCGGAACTACTCCATCAAGAATCCCGAAACCCTTGGGAGTATTTTGTTTCTTCTTTTGAGGTGTCTGCACATTGCTGACTTCAATTTTGCTCAGTAAGTACATTTCCCACTCTTCCCACATTGATGAATAGCATAGTGGACCCATCCATGACTTTGCTGAACTCCTATAGCACGCCATTCACTCTGCAATTACCAAATAGTGAAACAAATTAGGAACTGAGAAATATCAGTACAGAAACTATAGGAAGATTACTGTCAGTGACAAGTGAGTGTTTAGGGGAAATTTCACAAGGGACTAAACACACTCTGTCAATAGTGGAAAAAAAGAAAGATTGATGCTTTGGCTTGGGGATGAAGTAAGAGAAGATAAAGCTTGAAACTTTGTAAGGAGTGTGGTTATAAAGATGGATACTTTGGCTTGTGAATGAAGTAACAGAAGACAAAGCTTTAAACTTTGTTTGTTTGTTTTACCTTTAAGTTTGGTAACTAGATCAGTTCCATCAACAACACGGATCCGTGAGTCGGAAGATGTGACAAGCACTTCAGATGAGCTTCCAGGCACAAACTATGGTTACGAAATGAAACAAAGCAAGCAACTTTTAGTGCCGTCCTGAAGTAAAGTCTTTTGGATTTTGTTTATGAAGAAGTGACTCTGGCATTACCTGGAAACCAGTTATCTTTTTCTGATGAGCTTTCTTCTTCTTGTTCTGTAAACTTATCTGGCTTTTCTGTTGCAGCTTGTTATCTAGAGGAAACAAAAAAAAACGTCACTAATAATGTTCACACATTGGAAACAGCAAAAAAACAAAATCACATTACAAACTTCATCCATTACCTGCTGCACTGTAAAGACGACAGTTACCTTTGTATGAACCTACCAACGCACCCTTTAAGTTTCAATAGATACTTTAGAAAACTAGGGAAACTGTTTAAAGCCAAAAGATACTGACTACAAACAATTACATGGCAGGTTTAGTTTTACCTGACCGTCTGGAGTGTAGCAAGCAGAAGTGACCATCTCATGAAGATCATACCAGTCAACTACTTGCCGATCTGGAATGCTCCAAACACGAACTTTAGCATCTAACGAACCGCTGATGAAGTATCTATCATCAACCGGATTGAACTGAATGCAAGTCATTGTTCAATCAATAGATCAAATAATTAGATAAGCACAGAAAGAAACTGGTTAAATTAATATTAGCTGCAAAAGAACCTACTAACCATAATCACTGTGAGAGAATACTTTCAAGCAAGTGTGGCTGGACAAGCTCCACAAACGAACTGTTTTATCCATTGATGCAGACAGCAAATGCTGACGTAACAAGTAACAGAAAGCCTGTTTACCTATACATATTTCACAGAAACAACAACAACTAACTAACTAACTAACCTGAGATTTGGACCAAGAAACCAAAAGTAATGATTATAACTTAGGATGCAATGATGTATAATTTATGTTTTGTTTTTGTCCTCACTAACCATATAATAGCTTCCTGCCACTTCTTCCAATTACTACATAAGACATTACTCTTAGCCGGCTTCTCAAAATCATCCAACCTCATTACAAGCCGCCTACCATACTTCTTCACACATCCTTTTTGTCGCCACAGATGCTTCACTTCAGTTAATGTAAATGTATCATTGGAGTAAGCAATGTAATCACCAAACGGATATTTTCCCCTGAGAAATACACACAGAGAGAGAAAGGTATAAGCAAACAGATAACACACAACAAAAAAAACAAAAGCTACTGTTGAGAGAGACTTGCAATACAGTTTTCTCAAAAAGCAGAGAAAAAGGATATATTCTCACCGTTAACATAAAAATGACGTCTGATAACATCACGAACTCTGAGACTCTAATCCACGAAACCACCACCATCGAACTCGTTCCCCATCTCCTCCACTGTCGCGCAGAGCCTACCTCCATCGACCTTAGCTTCTACCACGGAGGAAGAATTGATCCATCTCGCGTTATCCTCATCTGAAACACCCTCGTTGTCGTCGTCGTCATCGATGAGAAGCTCGCAAGCTTCCCGCACTTTAGCCATGGCTGTAGGCTGATCCTCCGCCGTCACCGATGGTAGAATCCGAGCTTCTCCCCAGCCGACGCATCCGCCGCTGAGCTCGATTCGATTGGGATCGCGAAGTTTCCTACGGAATTGTAAATTAGGTATGTTTAATTATTTAGGGCATAAAGGTCTTTTTTCTATTAAAGTTTTGATGGTAAAGATGGTTAAGGTATAGATAAAATGTGCTATGAGGAAAGTGGTATTAGTCACAATTTCCCATTATAAAGTTTGTGGTATAATTGATAATATAAGAATATCAATCACAACATAGTATGTATTATATAAATAATTTTTAAATATAGTATTACTTCATTTAATTTAATCAAATAAAAAAATCTGAGAGTTCACTTTTAAGAAAATAAGATATTATAAAGTTAATACTAATTCATAGAAAATTAATGCAAAAAAATTATTATTTCATTTTAAAATAAATTAACAAAGAAATAACAGATTAATATATGATTCGTACAATTACATCAATTTATAAAATTTAATATAATATTATCTACAAATAAAAAAGTAAACATCTATATTTTTATATTTTATTCTATATGTAAATTATAAAACATAAAAAATATATAAGACTTTATTTTATAAAATCATCAGTTATGAATTTACGTTGAACACAAGTTAAATGAAACACATGCGCGGGGGCGCAGGTCCATATCTAGTAATAGAATTAAAACTACTAGATTCACTAAAATACTTTTCCTCTACATCATCTAAATATATAAAAATAGTATCATAAATAGTAAAATATTCCATACAAATGAACAGAATGATTAATGAATAAAGCTAAATGTAATCTGAAGCATCTAAATATCTGGTAGAAATATACATAAATATCCAATATTTCAAAACAAATAAACAAAATGATCCATTAAAAAAAAATTTCCTCTATAAATCTTGATACATAGAAAATATATTTTGAGATTAACATACATATGCACACACATACACAAACACACACGTGCTCACACACACACACACACACACACACATATATATGTATATATGAGAGGAGATTTTAAAACTAGAGAATAAAAAGAGTAATGGAAAAAAGAGAAACTAGGACAAAAGATCCATCTGTGTCACAATGTTCTCAAACTGATTGGATTCCCTTTGATCTAGCTAGGGAGATACTTATGAGACTGCCAGCAGCATCTTTGATGAGGTTTCGGTGCGTCTCAAAACAGTGGGTTTCTATCATTTCTGATCCAGATTTCATTATCTCATTCACAGCTAAGTCACGTTCTTATCTTTTGCTAAACTTCCGAAAAAATGACAATCAATTATTCTTTAGTCTCTCGCAACATAAGAATCTCGAAATTTGTTTACCCAACGTGGAAACATATCCTCTCACACTCCTAAAAGAAGATAGTTACGCATCCAATAGTCAGTTTCAGTCCGTCCATGGTTTGATCTCTTTCAATTATTTACGCCATGTTGTGATTTGGAACCCTAGCACGAGACAACATGTTACCTTTCGAAAACCACATGAAAAACCCTTTTATATAAGAACTTACTTAGGATACGATCCTATAGGAACTACATATAAAGTGCTGAGCATGGCATTATTCTCCACTAAATCGACCCATGTTCTTACATTGGGTGATCAAGAATCATGGAGACCAATCAAAGATAATATTCCTAGGCGTTCTTTTCCCAGTAAATGGATATGCATCAACGGAGTTTTATATTTTTTTGTCAGCAATAATGGTCGAGCTGAAATATTAAGTTTTGATGTGAGAACTGAAAAATTCAAATTAATCCAATGTGTGCATGATGACTTGGAGGAAAATATTTATTTGGTGAACTACAAGAACAAATTAGCACGTGTTATCTCAAAGTCATCATGTTACGAATTATGGATTCTTGAAGAAGCCGAAAAAGATAAATGGTCACGCCAAGATTTTTATTTACCATTTTCTCCGCATGATTATGGAAATTACGGTTTAACTGGTGTGACAGATTCTGGTGAGTTTATCTATGTATCAGTGTCATGGCATGATAAAAATATTCATGTATCTTTTTATGATCCAAAGGGGAAGAGTAACAGAATAATAAAAATTGAAAGATTTGAAGATGAAGATTTTTGGCTTCAGGATGAATGGCGTGAACATAATTGGGGACTTATCGGATGTATCCCGAATCACATTGAGAATCTTATTTGTGTTAAGAACTTTAATTGCATACCTTCTGTGTGATTCTTTTTCAGTGTTTTAGTTTTTGTTGTGATTTGTAATCTCATTATGTTCGTCAAATAAATATTCTAGTATTAAAGAAAAAGAATTATTCGTACAACAAACAAAACTAATGAAAATTAAACAAACAATTTAATTGGGGTATTAAACCGGTAATTAACCCAATTTTAGTCGATGATTCCATGGGAGAAAAGATCCAAGGGGAGAAACAATTTATTCATTACAGAATCTAATGAAATAAAATGTATGATCTTAACAGTTACAATATAATTAAAAGTTACTAGATACACCAAAAATAATTTCTTCTAAAACATCTACATATATGGAAAAATATTCCATACAAATGCACAAAATGATAATTGAATAAAAAAAAAGTTATCTGAAGCATCTAAACATATGGAAAATAGATATATAAATAGCCAAGTATTTCATACAACACAAAATGATCTATAGGAATAAATAAATTCCTCTAAATATCTAAACAGTGGAAAATATAATTTAAGGGTGAGCTGACTGACATTCATATCCACATATTATATGTATATAAGACATGAAATGAGATTTAAAAACGAAGGAGTAAAGAGTCATGGAAAAAACAGAAGCTAAGACAAAAGATTAATCTTCATCAAAATGTTCTCATACCGATTGTCTTCCCTTTGACCTAATGAGGGAAATACTAATGAGAGAATGAAGGATGATATGGAAAGATTGCTGGCTACAGCTATAGATAATGAGTCACCTAATAAGGATGAGCAAGCTATGAATGTGATGGTCCTTTAGAGCTAGAGATGGATGTAAAAGGATTTGGTTGCTTCACCGATGGATTGGGGCAGTGAGGATCATTGTCAATCATTTTCTTGAATCAGAACCTTGACTATACAGCTTTAAACACATCTCAACACTGTCAAAGTTGCAACCTTCATTTACTTGTTGAATGAATTGTTTTAGTTTTGTTGTTTCCTAATCAGTGCATAAAGTGCGTGGTTGGTTTCTTTGTACATTATGTTCTGATGAATATGAATACTTTGATTTGTCGTGTATCGATCTTCAGATGTTACAAGTCTTCAACCTTTTATATAGCTTGTATATAATAAGAGCCAAGACTGAACTTTTTTGTTACGCTTTGTTTGGGGAAAGAGTCATGAGTATTGGAGTTTTGGACAGGACCATAGTGAAGAAATTTGTCCTAAAATCATTAGAGGAAGAGCTACGCTTCTTTTATTCTATCCAAACTAAGCATTCACAAGAGACATCATTATTGAAAGCAGAGAGAAACATCACATGTGGAATTCCAAAGAGACATCATTATTTCAAACCATCCAAACAAAACATTCACGCCTACAACTTCCAAAAGCTCTCGTCCTTTTTTTCAAAAACACGATTACATTTTCATAGAAACTGATAAGTTTAACAAACCCTTACACTCAGTTGGATTGACGCAGCTCTGGTCGAACAAAATCTGCATCTTCAGGCACAGAGATATCAACGGTAGGCCTGAGCTGTGCACATACCTCGATAGCACCATGGACTGGATCAGCAAAGAAGTTGCTGATTAAGTCTTTGTTGATTGGTGCACCATTGTCCACAGCCACCAAAGCTTGTTGTGTCAGGTTGTAATCGAACCTCGGTGCCCATTTCCTCGATCCCAGTCTTGCTGTGGTCGAGCAGTTGTCCACCATGAAGGATACTCCCCTAGCATGCATAAACGGGTTTAGAGAATCAACAGACTCAATCACACTCTCGTTGATGATCTCCGAGTAAGAGTGACCCTTCTTCCTCAAGATCTCAATCTACGTAAAGATCACAAAAACCAAGACTTAGATTCCAAAATATCAACCAAAACTGAGGATAATAAGGAATAACCAAACCAAATGTAAACAAAAGGACATACATACCTGAGCCATCATAAGGGCAACGTAAACTCCAGCGGTGAAGGGATACAACGGACCCAAGTCACCAGCTGGTCTAGACTTCCTGACACGTTCACCGACCTTCCACATTCTTGTCTGATCAATCTTTCCCATTGGGAATGCAGGCAAGCCCTCCTTATCCTGTTACAAGCAAGGAAAAAGCCATCAAAATTCTTGTACAAGAAACAACATACCGTGTTCTATGTTTGAAGGATGAGCAATTACGTAGAAGCGACGACCGGCTAAGACAACACTCCTGATTTCACTGCCAGCAGCTACATCCTCGTAGCATTCATAGAGAATCTCCATACAAGGATAGAAGGATGCACTGTACGCAGTCTCAAAATCCTTTTTGCCTTCTTCAGACAAGGAGTTGTACACAGCCAACATTCCCTGAGTAGAGATAGTCCTCGAGATTGTTCCTGTGATGCACTCTACTGTGTTCTTGTAAGCCAACTCTTCACTCATTCCGTTTTCAGTGTACCTTCTGAACAGAGACTCAACGATTCCGTGAACGGCACCAAGCAAAATACCTATTTAACAAAACAAAAAGATGAATATAAGTTTAAAGCATGGGGTTGAGCTATAGAAAGCCAGACTCACCTCTTTCTCCAAAGATGTCACTCTTGTACTCTTGCTCAAGAGTAGTAGCGAAAGTAAAAGGAGAGCCAAGTGCTACTGACCATCCCAGAGCAACATCAGCGGCTCTACCGTCAACATCCTGCAAACAGATTGTGAGAAAATGATCACGGGAGGTATATATAACTTTAGATGTATATATATGGCGAGAGAGAGATAGAGAACCTGGTGAACTGCAAAACTGGCGTTGATTCCAGCACCGTTGATTTCTTTGCCTTGGACATAAAGTCTTCTCACAGATGGACCCATTCCTTTAGGGCAAACAGCAACCACGCTGATGTTCTTTGGGAAGTCGAGTCCCATTGACTGTAAATGCCCCAGTAAGAACCCATGTGACAAACCGAGAATGCTGTTTGGCTTCATGTGAGAGAATATTTTCTCATAGTTATCAGCCTGCAAAAACAGGACACATTAAGAGTTCAAATATATACGTTAAAATCTCAAGATAATTCACGATTCTGAAATGCACTTACCTGAGCAGCATCAGAGATCAAAAGGAGTACAAGATCACTGCCGGAGATAGTTTCCCATATATCACCCAAAGTACCAGTTTCTTCAGTGAAGCCAACAGCACGTGCCTCCTCAAAGGAGCTAGATCCCTTTCTAAGCCCAATCTACATTCCATGGAGTTAAAGAAAAAAAAAATCATGTCAGGGAATAGCCTTCAAGTAAAAGCAGAAAACAAAGAAAAATCTAAATAAAACAAAGGTAATGAAGCCAACAGATGAGTTGGGGAATTACCTTAACAACAATGTCAGACTTAGCCTCCACAAGTGAATCCCTTAAATTCTGAGCTTGAGCAGGTCCCTGCAATTACATAGACGAGAAACGCGTAAGAGAAAGGGAAAGTGATACTATACACATTCATTAAGCTCACAAATATACCCAAAGCACGTACAAGAAAACACTTAAATTTAAATCACACGACCAATTTAATTAACATTAATATAATCAAGAAACTATCTCCACAGACCGAAGTACACAAAAGTCATATTTAACAAAGCAAAACCCCGCAAAGCCGTTAGCTTTGCTTTTTATGTAATGAATCACAACAATTTAGTAAGCATCCAAACGAGAAACATGCTGATTAAGAAAAACACATACTAAGAGACCAAACAAAAGAGTACCTGAGACCCCCAGCCAATAACACCAATCTGCTTAATCCCTTTGAAAGCATCAGGAAGATGTTTGAACAAGTCCCTTCCTCCTCTCACAATGTACTAAAACAAAGATAATCCAAGACCTCAAATATTAGCAACAATCACAAACAATAAACCCAAAATATCAGATTTTTTATATAATCAATACAATAATCGAACCTCTTCGTGACCAGCAAGAGAGACTTTCTCTTTTTTGAATACAGACGTCTCGAAGTCGAGAGACATAGGGGCTCTGACCGCAGAAGACGCAACCATTCTTGCGGAGAGGGAAGATCCCTTACCATTTCCAGCGACGGTGGCGGTAGCGGTCAGCGACCTCAGAGACTTTGAAGCAGAGGAGATGAAACCGATGTTGGGAAAAGCAAAGGTTGAGACTTTCGATGATTTGAGGGTTTTGGAGGAAGAAGAAGCAGATGGGCATGAGAGGGAAGGAGCGATGGATGAAGTCGCAGCCGCCATTTTGAGTCGTCTCAGTGTATTTGCAAATTAGGGTGACACACAAACAAGCACACACCTACTCAAGACCACGAAGTGGTCAATACTTTAATTAAAATAATTAAATGAAATAAAATAATGCATACAATGGATCTCTATAAAGTGTCTAAATCCCATTATTTAAGACCCACTGAAGGCCCATTAAGAATCTTAAACGTTCTTTCACTGGTTGGTCTATCAACCGCAATGTTGACTTCCCAGCGGTAGATGTCTTGATGATAGGACATGTCTGGTCTGTATCAAGAGTCCAAAAAGTCAATAAAATGAACGGTCTAGTTTTTTTTTTTTGAAACACTTAAATATAAAGGGGTGCAACACGAGAAATTTCTGAGAGGTCATCCATTTTAATATTATTCTCGCCCAAACACGCTTAACTGCGAAGTTGTTAGATCCGATGCATGCTGGTGCCAATGGTGTAGGTTTAATCAGATGATTTAGAGGTAAACTCAGTTTTAAGTAATGGTACTAACGCCCATTTAAGGGTCTAAGGCCCATAAGGCCGAAATCTCAATGTACTTGGTTGGTTTATCTTCTGTTTAATGTTGACTTTCCAGCGGTAGACGATATACACGTGTCAAGTCTATATCAGGAGTCGTAAAAGTCAATAATATGGACGGTCTAGATTTAAAGTTAGTTAATAAGATCGGGTGGTTTTGTGATGGTATACAGTACACCTAACGGGAATCTTCTGCGTATCTTCGTCTTCTTGACTCTTGAGATTGTGATCACAGTAGGGCAAAGACTTAACATTAAAGGAATTGATCGATTACTCATCTGGGTCGTCTTCTCTAGTGGTTTTGAGGATGGATCAAGCTTCGTCTTCATCGAATGTTAAGGAAGAGAAGAAGTCTTCCACTGAGCATGTGACCGTCGATGATAACGAGGAGAGAGAAGCTATAGAGATTCCTCTCTTCCAAGTGCCTGAATGCTATGTTTATTTGGTAAAGTTCTTACCTTTATTAGGTTATATAAGGAGATGGGTATTCGAAATTTCTAGCCTTGATTAGGTTATATTCGTATAACAGATTCTCAACGACTTTGGATTTAAAAAGTAATTTAATTTAACCAATGTTAATCTTGATGCTTTCTTGAATGGGGTCTTTGCAATCATGCTAACTGTTTGGGATCATTGTTGCATAAATTACATGTTCTTTGACGTTGGAGCTTGATGGAATCGTTTTATCAATACGGTTTATGTTTTCTACTGTGATTGATACTTTGCGGGAATGTTAAGGCAAGTGAGCTCGTCTTTGTCTTGTGTGTATGCAGATACCTCCAAGGAAAAGTGCAGCTTCCTACAGGTTCTTTCTTGCCTTCATGATTAGACAATGTCTGATCTGTAGTTAGGAGATTCTTTAAGAACCCTTGTTTCTGCTGCTTTGCCAGTGATCAATAACTTGAAGAGACTTAATTTGTATCAATATAGTCACTTTTCTAGTTACATTTTCTTCTAATCAGCTCAATTTAGTTTCTTAGGCCAAAAGATGCATTTAGTAATCTGTTGGAAAATCAAGGTAGGCATTTGCTGATATCTTTTATATAATTGATTGTAGAGCGGATGAATGGGACGTGAACAAATGGGCATGGGAAGGAGCATTGAAAGTGGTAAGCAAAGGAGAAGAATGCATTATCAAACTTGTAGATAAAACCACAGGAGAACTTTATGCTCAGGCCTTTTTGCGAGATGGTGAACTTCATCCCGTAGAAGCCGTAATTGACAGTAGCAGGTAACAAAAAAAATGAACCGTGGAACTTATACTTAGTCTTCTCATGATGTGCAGCTAGTCTAACATGAAAGCTCTGTTTTGTCTTGTAGATACTTTGTTCTCCGTGTTGAAGAAAACATAGGTACTTACCATATAGATATATTGAGATGTAAAGTTGTTTTTTGAGTATACTTATTTGAAGCATTGCAGGTGGTCGTGTTCGACATGCTTTTATTGGACTTGGATTCAGGGAGAGAACTGAAGCATATGATTTCCAAGCTGCACTACATGACCACATGAAGTAACATTCCACTTTCAAATATCTTACTCTTCTTTTGATTCTGACATAAAGCAAAGAATCTTACTCTCTTTGCTAAAGGTACTTGAACAAGAAGAAGACAGCAGAAGAAATGGAACAACACTTTCAGAACACTTCATCTGTCGATTACAGCTTAAAGGAAGGAGAAACCATTGTTATCCAACTAAAAAATGTAAGAGTTACAGTTATTGCGTCTATACATTTTCTGAAAGTTTCTTGTTTTTCACACTGTAATGATTCAAACAGATGAGCGAAAAAGACACAAAGTCTAAGTTGGTAGATAAGAGTCTGACCAATCTCAAGTTGGAGGATAAGGGCAAGTCAATAGAAACCACCATTCCTTCAATTATCCCTCCTCCTCCACCTCCTGGGCCACTTTCTCCTGTCACAACCGCTCAGAGGTCCCCTCAGAAGTCCCCACCAAGCCTCAGCCTCCAAAGATCATCTGAACAACAAGATCTAGATACAAAGCGAGAAGAAGTAGAGAAGAAAGAAGACCAAGAAGCTAAAGATACAGCCGTTGAAGATGCACCAGATGATGACTTTGGAGATTTCCAAGCTGCAGGCTGATTTAACCATTAAGTATTTTACCATACAGAAAGCATCCTTTTATAAGTAATGTGAACTGATCAAAGTTTGGATTGTGTTTGCTTCTAAGAGAGAGTCCATCTTCTGTACTATTTCTCTGAACTTGTGATTAGATAAAACTTTGAGGTCTTTTTCATTCATTCACCATACAAAACTTATGAACTGCAGGGGGAATAAAAACGAATTCTCTGCAATTATAAGCTCTTTTAACTACTCTTCAGAGACGAACTTGAGTGTGCTTCTCTGTTCTTCTGCAAATCTATTACAACCATCAAGAAAAGTACGCCATACAGTAGCATCTGCAGGGAAAGGCATTCTAGAAATCATTTCCTCAGCCTCTTTCAGGTAACCGTTTCTGGCCAAAAGATCAACTGCACAACGATAATGATCCATATCTGGCTCAACTCCATAATCGTCCATTTTCCAAAACAACTCCATTCCTTCTTTTACCATACCACTATGTCTGTAAGCCGTTAACATAGAGATGAAAGAGACACGGTCTGGCTTGAACCCCGCAGATACCATTTCCTTAAACTTTTCAAATGCCTCACGGCCATATCCATGAATGCCAAGAGACGAGATCAATGCCGTCCATGTAATGATGTTCTTTTCTCTTGTTTCTTCAAAGACTTTGACTGCACTCGTAACGTTTCCGCATTTCCCATACATGTCAATCAATACGTTGCAAACAAATGTGTCGGCACGGTTAAAATCCGTTTTTGTGATGAGGCCATGGATAGAACTTCCAAGAGCCAAGTCGCAGAACTTCGAGCACATGCTTAAGATACTAACGTATGTGAAATTATCAGGGCGGATGTTTGCTTGAAGCATGTGTTTGAAAATTTCTGTAACCTCTCCGTGGTTATCAGAACGAGAGCAAGCCGCAACTGCAATGTTCCAAGATACAGTGTCGGGTTGTTCTAGTGTCAAAATCAACTTCACCGATTCATGGTACTGGCCTGTTCTGCTATATATTCCAGCGACAATGTTCAACGAGACTACAGAAGAAGGCTCGCACGACCAATCCAGGAGAAGAAGAGCATCGTTCATCAGCTGATTCTTGGCGTAGGATCTCATAAGAGAGCTTAACACATAGTCATTGTCTTCATAGCCCATTCTCACAATAACAGAGTGCAGCTGTTGTAACTCTATGACACGACAAGATTTGAGGGCTGTCGAGAGAGTATATTCAGTTGGCCTGAAACCCATTTGAAGCATTTGAAAAAACAATGAGAGACAAACTGGATCATCTTTATTGGCATAACCCCAAAGCAATGTATTCCAACAAACAATGTTCTTAACACGAATAGAATCGAAGCATAGGCGTGAATCTTCAAGACTACCACATTTAGCATATAAATCTATCAATGCATTCCCCAAGTATATGTCAGTCTCGCAGCCATTCTTGACCAGTGTGCAATGAATCTGGCGTCCGAAACTCAACGTCTGCGTATGAGAAGAGGCACTAAGAACACTAACGTATGTACCTTGGTTCGGGGAAAACTCATGCCCTGACATACTTACAAAGAGTTTAAGTGCTTCTAACGGGTTCTCACCTTTGGCTGTTGCACCAATTATGGCGTTCCATGACACTATATCCCATGAAACTGCCTCCTGAAACATACTCTTCGCCATATGGGTGTTGCCACATTTTCCATATGCACTGATAAGAGAGTTAACGATGGAAGTATCACAATCCAACCCTCTTTTCATCGCTGAGCAATGCAACTGTATGCTACTTTCCAAGTCACTTTCACAAGACACACCAGACAACACACCCAAGAAAGAGCTTTCAGATAAACACTCCCCTGTCCCAACAAGCTCACGGAAGAGAAACATGCATTCTTTGAGAAAACCACGACGCCCCAACAAAGACATCATATGGTTCCATGTCACCAAGCTTTTCAACGGCATATCTTCAAACACCCGTTCCGCCATTTCCAATAACTCAAACCTCCCATACAAACACAAAATTTCAGTACCGACGAACGCATCAGCCATAAACAAACCATACTTCAAGCTCAAACCGTGCAACTGAGTTCCAGCACGAACATCCAACGATGGACATGACAATAAACCACACACTGTTAACTGATTCGGCAAAAAACCAAACTCCCTCATATCCGAGAACACACGCCAGGCTTTCTCAGCAAACCCAGATTTGCTAAACCCACTAATGATCGTGTTGAAGGACGCTGTGTTTCTCTCAGGCATTCTATCGAACACCTTGGCTGCACACGAAACCTCGCCGAGCTTCGCGTAAAGGGAGATGACGTTGTTGCAGATGTAAATGGGCTGCTGAAGGGTGTTGCATAACGTGATGGAGAGCGCGTGAAGAGCTTTGGTTCTTGTAAAGGAAGGAGCTTTTTTGCAGACGTTGAGTAAGCTAGGTAGACGGTTGTTGGGGTTGGCGAGATCTCCATGGCTGAGGCTCATGCAGGAGTAAACTGAAAGCAGAGAACTTTCCAGGTACGGTTCAGTCGAATTTGAAGTTGGCACGATGACTGGAGACGATGAGCCGCGCGCAAGAAGACTTATATAGCGCTTAGAACTACTAGACCCTCTAGCTTAATTAGAGGGTTTGAGATGAACTAAGTTCGTTAACCGCTGCTTTACCGAACACAAAACTTATCAGATTAACCCAAAAAGAAGTTTGGTTGGTTCCCTATAGGGTTAACAAGATGATACACGGGCGCAGGGTGACTTTATATTAATACTAACTAGATCTCGACCCGCGCAGATATTTGTTTTCATTTATTTTTATATAAATATTTTTTTACTTCTAAACTGGTATATATTATATAAGCTGTGTATATCGAAAATGATGATTAATTATTATATAATATAGATTAATTACTGTTAGAAAATGATGATTTTTTATTTTTAAAAATAAACTATATAATTTTTAAAGTTAACATCAAAAATATACAAATAATTAACTTATACTATTACAATATTAAATTATATAAGTTTAAATTAAATATGTATTTTATTATAATATTTATAAATCCAATGGATCATCTAATTTTTATTAGCCCAATAAAAATTTCTAGTAAGCCCAATAAATGTTATTAGTGAATCTAATGAATGTTATTAATGATTGAATAATGTAATGTCATAAATTCTATTAGATGATCCATTTTAAAATATCACACATGAAGTGAAGTCATGACTTCTCTTTTAATATATACTAGATTTTGACCCGCGTTTGAAAAGCGCGGAAATTTTTTATGATTCAAAATTTATATAATTGAGTTTTGTCTTAATTTAAAAAATATTTTGATATAAAATCGGTTCACCAAAATTTGTGGTGATGATTGTTTTTCATTAGTTTTTAGTTTCAGTTTTTATTTTTAGATTTTGGTTTTTGGTTTTTAGTTTTTAAGTTTCTACTTTTCATTTTCAGTTTTTGGTTTGGGTTTTTAATTTTTAAACCCGCTGAGTTAGTTTGAACTAATATTACCAACAAACAAATCTCAAATAATCGAACATCTAATTTAAAACTGAAAAGATGATTACAAATTTTTTAAAAAAAAATTGAAATAGTTTATTTTGTAAATAAACAAAGCAAAAAAATATAACATGTGTTTTCAGCTTTTGGTTTTGGATTTTAGTTTTTAGATTTGGTTTTTGGTTTTGCTTTAAATTTTTTTAATCTGTAAATTATTTAAGAAAAATAAAACAATAAATTATTTAAAAGTTACCATTGAAATTTATCAAAACAAAGTGATTGTTATTTAAAATAAAAAAAAATATATTAACATGTTTTAAAGTACATGATTTAAATAAATGATTAATAATAGATAATTTTGTTTTTTAAAAATATTAAATATCTTTTGGGTTTGAAAATAATAATTGATTTTTTGATCTTTTAAGGTGAAAATTATATTCAATGTTTTGGAGTTTTTTTCTTAATACGAAGCCCAAAAACCAAACTATATAATTTGTTCAAAAAACAAAAGTAAGCCCAAAACTATATTACATAAATAACCACTGGTTTAATTTAAGTATAATTAGTAGATTTCCATATTCAATATTTTGATGATATATATTCTTTTAGAACATTCCATATTTGTAGGAGAAAATATGTGTTTTCGATATACACATAGATACCTGCCGTATTTTGAAGGTAGTTTACATTAGGTCGTCTCTTTACATTAATTGTGTTGGTTTAATTTAAGTAATACAGTTTAATCAATTATATGACTTATATTATTTGTAACATTCTAGAAAGAGTTCAAATTTAAATGATAACTTGTATCAGTAGATAAAAAAAATGACTCTATTTTAATAGAGTAGAAGATGGTATTCCAGCGCCTAGCGCCGGGTTCATATATTTTATTTTTAATAAGTTTAAAATTATTTGTAACCATCAAATTATCTATATCTATAGATAAATTTTTACATCATGTGTAGCTTCTTTTAACTGATTTGAATGTTGTTGTTGGGAGATGTTACATGTTAATGATCGATACAAATTTCTAGCAAACATAGATTGAGTTATAGTGGTTTGTTCTTTTAGTGGTTAGTGATAAATATTGTTTTCATTTTCCTTAATATAAGAGCAAATTGCATGATAGGACATGAAAACATATTTATTTATTTGGGCTAAGTTTGACTTATTGTCCGTTTGAAGTTGAATGTTATGTTTCATATGAATGTAATATACGCCGTAGTTATTTTGTTGATTTACTATATATGTTCCCAAATCTTGATTTCCTTCTAACTATTTTGTTTTGCTATGAATCATTTTTTTGTCTATTAACGTGTTTTTTTTGTCACCTCTATTGTTGTATTTGATGTAATATTATATGAGATTCGTTTAGGATAACACAATTTCTTTTTGGACATTATGCATCTATCTTATCAAATAGAAGTACAAATAAACAATACCACTAAAACTTACAAATTTTTTACAAATCAATATTACTGAAATATTAAATAACCCTAACTTTAAATAGTCTTGTATTTTATAATTATTACATAATTTTTAAAAATAATTATAACTAACAAAGAGTTAGGCAACAATAAAAGAAAACCTACACTATATTTATTTAATAGGTTTCAACACAATCATATAATAAACAGAGTATGCTTAATTTAAAAATAAAAATTTGTGGCTAAAATCCTACCTTTTATTATTTTATTTTTTCCCATAAATAGTATTCTAATGTAAATTCAAAACAAATTGGTAAAATATATCTAAAAATAATTTTTATTTTAAAAAATCAATTTTAACCAATATGAAATTATTATAAATTAATTATCATATTTCAGTTTTTACAAATCAATACTTTAGATTACCGAATAGAATTCATAATTTTATCGGGTCCCTATAATTTGTTATTTAACTAAAACGAATAAAAAAAATAAATCCTACACCACACATTAAATTGTACGTAATTTTATTTAATCTTATATATGTCGGAACAAACCAAATTATTAACGACAATCGATCTGAACCCGGATACTCATGTCTATACATACTTGTGAATAATCGAATAAGGGCATAAATTTAAAGCAAAAACGGTTGACCCGTCCTCTTTAAGGGCGGGTCAAAATCTAGTGTTCTTTTATAGTGGATAGTTTAACGTAAAGGAGAATGACCCATGAACCAAATAGTATGTATGTGTTCACAATAAAAAGGACGCTTTACATAATAATATAAATGTTTTACTGTGTTCTAGTAAATAGTATTCATTTAGTATTTGTTGTCAATGTGGGGTTTAATGTGATATTAATATAAAAATAAATGATATAACAATTAAATATGATGATTTCCTAGTAAATGGTCTAAAATGAAATATCATACATAAAAGAAGTCATGACTTCTATTTTAATATATAAGATATATGTAAATATCAATATATTAACATAATCAAATTTATTAATTATATTTTATTTTTAAGAATATAATATATTTTCTAGTTTATAATGTAACTTTTTGTACTTTTCAATCTCTTCACATATGTAAATCTTAAGAGATTATTGATAATTTTTATAGTTGTTTAATATATATCTATATATGTAAATACAAAAATTATTGAAATTAGATATTTAAATAAATTGATATATATGAAATAAAAGATTCTTATAATTGGGCCTAATGTAAAAATGAATAAAATTTAAATAAAATAAAAGTTTTTATAGCTCGGCTTAAATAATATTCAAAAAATGATAATATGTCAAGTGTCAATGTTTGACCTCCATGAAGAAAAAAAAAACTCAATCTTATTATTAAACCTAGTGGTTTTCCGGGCTACGCCCGGGTTTTCTATTATGCTATATGTTATATGTTTTATATTTTAATTATGCTAAGATTTTAAATAAATTTACATGATATTTGATAAAAAAAAACTGTAATGTCTAGATGGGATTACTTGGTTATTATTCTACTTTTTGACAAACTGATGTATTTAATAATGTCTTTGTATAGGTAATTGTTTATTCTTCAAACTTCTGACAATGCCTATTATAGTATTTTTTTTTTATAAAATTTTTTTTTTGATGTTGAAGCGGGCAATAATTTTCTCCAATTTACTAAAAAAAACTATAAAATATCATACCTGATAATTCAAATTTATATAAATTTATATTTATTAGTTTTTTTAATTTTAAAACTTTTTTGAACCAGATAATTGTATTTTTTTTTGCCAACAATCGTACATTAAAGTAGTGTATACTAAATTTTGTAATATAATCATTCATAACTACAATAATGCTACTACACCGAGTCTATAATACTTGATAGTTTTAAACAAAACTATATATTAAACTTTTTGTAAGCTTACACGCATTACAGATGCTTGCATGACATTTTAATAATTAATACAATTTTGATTCTTGAATAATTATAGTAAACATGTGATAACATTTTGTGGGGGTTATTGATTCCACTATTTTAATGGATTTAGAAAAACATTTGGATTTAGGAATATTTGATAAATCATATGATTTTAAATCGTGCAAATATATTTAAGAATCAAGGATTTTGATTTCAAAATGAAAATAGCTTTTTACGGAAATCAAGGATATCCAAATCTTTGATAAATCATATGATTTTAAAATCGAGCAAATAGATTTAAGAATCAAGGATATTGATTTCAAAATGATTTTAATTTTTTTTTCGTTTTTTTAACTCTCGGTTTTAGGATTGTTATGTAATTCAGTTTTGACTCGTTTTGGTTCGACTCTAGTTGGAGCTTTTTCTTTTCTTTTAAACTCTTATTTTACAGACGTTTTTTGGAAATCAAGGATATTGATTTCAAAATGAAAATAGATTTAAGAATCAAGAATATTGATTTTAAAATCGAGCAAATAGATTTAATAATCAATAATATTTATTTAGATATTTCATATTTAGAGATATGACAATTGTCATCTATCTTGAAGAATAGGTTGAAAGTGATAAAGTTTTTTTTTTAATTTACTGGACTAAAAATATTTATTAAAAATCATATCATTTGTAAAAATGAATAAAAATT